TATAAATTTCTCGCGCTTCTCTTCACAATGATTTCGTGGAGCTAGAAAAGACACAGGTGAACATTCAAGGAGTCGAATGCAATCTTCGACGAACTGAACAAATTTATTCAAGGCTGTATAATAACAAAGTTAATTACTACAAACCGAACAACTTCATAAAAGCGGAATGAAGAAGTTAAAAGTTGTGGAAGTATTACAATATAATGGCGTAAACATGAAAGTGATCAGGACTAAGAGGAGCACAGTCAAGATGGGTTTGTTACATTAAAACATGCCCGTAGTTTGACTTCCTTTTTTGGGTTCATGAATTATTAATGATTTGAAAACTTGGGCAAGTGGGGAAGTGCCCGGGGCAAGCAAAATTTGAGAGTTACTTGCCCAATGGGCAAGGTGGAGTTCAAATATTTTTCAAGCCCTGATATGGCTTGAGGAATCTCTCGAAGAAACTGAAGAGTAACTGCCTTCTGTGAAGGCTCGTTGAGTGCTGTTCCCTCTTTAATACTAAACGTGTCCCAATACAGCTGTTCCAAAACAGCAAAATATACCAGGAAAGACTTGCATAGCTGTCGCATTTGAGCAAGAAAGGCCTGTCCGCAGGACTCTGGATCGGTCCAATAGTAAGTGAGGATTGCTTTTTTCAACTTGCCAAAGAAAAAACCAAAGACTGCTTGATGTGCAGTCCAGCACTAACCATGATAAGACCACCATGTCTTTTCAATTTCCACAATTATAAAATGCAGTTACATGCAAGTTAACAGAGTTAACAACAAAGAGTGCCTGCATTCCCGTAGCTGTCAGCGGTGTCTTGATATGTGCTTGCTGTATCGTGCCGTGCATTTTTTCCCACTTTATATTTTGTTAGTTTTATATCGACGGATGTCTGCTTTGTTGTCCAGCCATCTATCTCAAGTGTTCCCTTCTCGGAATATCGTGCATCAACCACAGTTAACAAGCGTAAATTTCACCTTGTCAGCTAAGGAAAGTGCCAGCTATGATGTAAGTGCAATTTTGAGCTGAAACCTCCAGATTGTCTTCAGCAGTTTGTATCTTATTTAGTGTTCAGCTTTGGGATGCATCTATATAGCGTGACATCAGTGTGTTTTTACCATTGCCTATTTCTTAGTTCACACATTACATAGTTTTTTAGCGCAAGTACTGTTGACTGCTCAATTCAGCAATTGGTGCAGAATAATTTGTTGCACAATTACGATTACTGCTGCCAGTTTAGTTTACATGTAGCGTGGATTTTTTGCATGACTGTTGTTGCCCATTTATTTTAGGTTTGACCCTGGCCTAATTGTTAGCCTGTTCAGTTTAAGCCTAGCATGGCGCTTTAGCAGGATTACTTTTGCTTATTTCTGTTCAGTTTCGGCATGGCGTAGCATTGATATTGAATCACTGTTCAGTTGCCAGTTCAGTTTACACGTAATGGGGATTTTTCCATGTGATTATTGTTGTCCGTTTATTTTAGGATTGACGTGGCATAATTGTCAGCCTGTTCAGTTTGACGAAGCATGGCATTTCAGCAGGATAACTGTTGCCTGTTTAGTTTAGGCACAGCATGGTGTTGCTGTTTGAATACTGTTGCCTGCTAAGTTCAGTTCAGCGTGATTCTACTGGTGCCTCTTCAGTTCAGGCATAGTGTTGTGGTTCAGTGTGTTTTACTGTTACCTGTTTAGTTCAGGCGTAGCATGGCGGTTCAGCTTGGTTCCACTGTTGCCTGTTATGCTCAGGCATAGCGTGGTGGTTCAGTGTGGCTCATGGACTGGTTTCCAGGATTTGCCAGCTACGGGAGCGGTCTCCATCCAAGAGCTGGTTGCCAATAGTGGAAGCTCCTGGTTGTGCAGCATGGCATTTCAGCATGTTAACTGTTGCCTGTTCAGTTCAGATGTAGAGGGCAGTTCCACCTGTTTTACTGTTGCTTGTTCACTTACCTGGTCAGTTAGGCCCACTGCAGTGTTTTTCACTTTAAGAATGCTTTATTTTGCAGCTCACTGGGTGCCTACAGATTTGGGTGATTTTCTCGGGACTCTGGGTTTCCTTGGCCATAAGCTCCTCGTTCTCAGGCTTGGCGTGGGGGCTCAAGGCTTGGTTTCCAGGATTTGCCAGCCATGGGAGCGGTCTACATCTAGGGGCTGGCTGCCAATAGTGGAAGCTCCTGGATGTTTCAGGTACCCAACCTCCATTTAGCGATGTAGTTGTTAAATGCAGTTAAATGTAATTTAACAGAATTAACAACAAAGAGCACCTGCATTCCAGTAGTTGTCAGCGGTGTCTTGATATGTGCATGCACCAGGATTCCATGAGCTGCTAGACTGAGACAGGTTGGCAGTCTTCACAGCCATAGCATTTACAGTGAGCATTGTTTTGCATGGGAGCACATCTTCAAGCATTCCCCCTCCCTTCCCTCCCTCTTTCCACTGTTAATTCAGTGTGACCGGTGTCTGTCTCCTCTTCCACTTAGGGGCTCATGGCTCGGTTTCCAGCAGTTTGCCAGCCACAGGAGCAGTCTCCATCTAGGGGCTGGCTGCCAATAGCGGAAGCCCCTGGATGACTCAGGCACCCAACCTCCATTTAGCGATGCAGTTTTTAATAGAAATCAAATAGCATGAAACTGAATGGTTTAGGAAGTACTGATACATACAGTGGAAAGACATTGGTTGCTCCTCCCACAAATGAACATTCCTCAACATCCCATCACATACATGTGACAAAACACTCTTCAAATAGCATAATTATTATTCCAAGTATACAGGAAGCAGAAGTAATACTAAATTCATTACCACTCCAACCAAACACAGAGATCATGACTTACCTTAAATGGGATTTATTTCCATGTAAGTCTCAGCAAATAAACTGTTACTTGTATGTTTTTTATCTGGTAAGAAGTAGGAAAGATTTTAAAAGCATTCAAACCTGGTAATTTATTAATTTCAGCTGAGAGTAAATACATACATATGAAGCTATTTTGATATAAACGCACATGTTCTGCGTGCATATTTTTTTGCTTTATGTTCCTTGACGTTAGTTGAGTGCTGGTAAAATGGGGTTGACAGGCCTACACGACTCCTACGTTTTGTGACATCTGTATGTTTGCCGTTCTCTGTTCGGTCTCGTGACCTTTCTGTGCTTCACTCCTGTTTATGAAGGGCACTTACTGCTGTATTATACAGATAAATTTTAAGTAGCATTGAGCCATTACACTATGGTGCAGTACTTATGTAGATCTTCTACATGCTGCTAGTTAGATTACAAGTTCAGCCCAGGAGGGAGCACTGTCTGATATCAATCACAGAAATTAAAAAGTTGTGACAGACCTGCACAACTCCCACTGTACGCAAATGTGTATTCTTTGCCTTTAGAGTTTGCCATGTGCTTATGCATTGTTTAGGCTCATTTATATTGCAAGCTTTGTTTTAAGTCTCTGAGTACATGTATTTACTTTCAAGGGACAAAATACGAAACTTTCTGACTGAACATTTTGCTAACTTGCATTATATATTGTGATGCCCACCCAGCTGAGATTAGAACTGTTTGCAAATACAGTAGGTAGATTCTTATCATGGTTATCATATTTGTCCTTGTACGTTTTTCTTCGGAGACACTGTAGCTTTACCTCAAGAAAGCTATACGTTTTTCTCTAGAGACACCCTTATGTTTCTTGCAGCTATCTCATCGAGCTTATGTTTCTTAAGCTTGATGTATAGGTTTTTCATCCTTTTAGTTGTTCTGGCACCACATGATTCAAATGTAGTTGTTTATGCGCAAGTCTGGTGACTGTTTTGCATGTTGTATATGTCATTGTTTGGCTTAGATCAGGCGCGTTTGTTGCTCCTCATTGTAGCTATATAATATTACATATCTGACCGGATTCGCAAAAACATAGCCATAGAATTTGACTTGTCACTGATAATCTTGCTACAATTCTGTCCTAGAGCTAGCTTTCCACAAGGCTTATCGTAGCTCAAATAGCAGCAAATAACTCTCCTGTATGCCTTTTGAGGCCAGGAAGACTAAATTCACCATCTTTTCGTTGAATCATGAATGTACAATTTAATTAAGAGTGCTTTTAACATGAAATTGGAGTCTAAATCAACACGAACGTACAGATATCAAAACCACGGCGGAGAGCCAATCTATTGCTTTCTAAAGGCCTGCATCGTCCTAAATGGACTGAACAAGAGCTTCCTACATCGAGAATCGATTGAA